TCACGAAAACGGCGTCGGAGCACCCCCAAATTCCTAGGCGCTTCCGGCCGCTCTTGGGCGCTTCCTGGGTGCGTCGCGTGCGCCTCCGGAGGGCAATTTTTTCACACCCCACACGAGGATCGTGGCCTTCGACCCGCCCCTAGAAGCCCCCGTAAGGACACGAGAGGTTCCAGGGCGCCCTCCAGAGGATTCACGGCAAAAAAAGGCAAAACGGAAAAAACGGCCCTGTCGTTTCCGGGGCCCACTAAGGGCCACAGCTGGCGCTTGGCCAGCCGCCGCGACGCGGCCCCCCAGGGCTTTCGCTGCCACGGCCTCCACCGTCGCCCCGCCGCCCCCCGCCGCTCGCAACCCGCCGCGCGCCGTCGTCGATCTCCTCCTCCTCCTCCTCCTCCTCCTCCTCCTCCTCCCTCCCTTCCTCCCTCCCTCCCTCCCTCCCTCCTCCTCCCTCCTCCCTCCCTCCTCCCTCCCTCCTCCCTCCCTCCCCCTCCCTCCTCCCTCCTCCTCCTCCTCTCCTCCTCCTCCTCCTCCTCCTCCTCCTCCTCCTCCTCCTCCTCCTCCTCCTCCTCCTCCTCCTCCTCCTCTCCTCCTCCTCCTCCTCCTCCTCCTCCTCCCTCTTCATCAAGCTTCAAGCTCTCGCCTGCGCGGCGGTGCCCGCGGGGCCCGGCTTTCGCTCGGGGCGCCTCGGCTGCGACGGCGTCCCGTCCTCGGTGCGCTGGGGGCTGCGGTCAACCCGCACGGGAAGCATGCGCGGCGAGGATGCCAGGGCCTCGGAGGGCCACACTGCCGCGCTCCGAACGAGGTCGGCCAGCGAACGTCGCCGAGGAGGGGCCGAAGGGGCAAGAGTGCGAGGGTAGCGCTACGCTGCTCCCGTCGTCCTGAATCACCACATCCCAGAAATGCAGTGTCGGACGAGTGTCTCCCAGGGCCCGACACGTGAAAAAAACCCAGTTTCGGTAGTTACCTTCTTGGTGCTCGAGCTTCTTCCTGGCGATCGAAGCTAAAGTAGGTTGGAACATCATAAGGGCAGCCTTGGAACGCTGCTCATCCTTACCCGGCGGGTTGACCGTAGCACCCTCGACGCGAGATCCCTGGCGGCGGTGCGAGCAGCCGGCCCCGGACCAGCGCTTTCCCGGTGCGGCCGCCGCTGCCTGTCCTCCCCGCCGCCGCCCGCCGCTGCCCCGTGAGGAGCCCGGCGCCTTCCCTTTAAGTCGGGCCCGTCCTCCTACAGGGGGATTTTGGACGAAGAATAGGAAATAGTCAAAACATATTTCAAAAATAATCAGACGTACTCACAAAAAGTCGACCCCAGACTATTTCTGAATAGTCGTCCTGTAGAAGGACACGCCCGACTTAACCTTCCTGCTCCCCCTCCTCGTCCGCTCTCCAGCGTTGACCCCTGCCAGCTCAGCTCAGTCTGACTTCGACCCCCGTGAGGCGCTCGAGTGGCTCGCGCCCCAGCCTCGCGCGAGCACAGGCTTCTTCGGATCAGCCAGAGGAAATGCACCCTCTGCGGCGGACGGTGTCCGAAGGAGGGCAGAGGGGGCGCAATGGGAGGGCGGAGCAGGAGGAAGGGGAGAGGAGGGTGATGGGGACGAGGCATGGGCGGGTGAGGACGAGGAGGGAGAAGGCGGCGGACCAGGAGGGAGAGGAGAACTGCTGAGACTCTCGGAGGCCCTGTCTACGCACTCGCCACCAGTGCACGCTCGAGGTGACGCCCACTCGGGAATTCGGCCATGCTCAGGATAAGAAGAAGGACTAGGGGCGTACCGTCGATCCACAGTCGCCCTCCCGAGGTGCTCTTCGCTCCGCAGTCCAAGATTCTCCCCGGGGGCGTCTGTCCGAAGGGCCATTCTGCGGCACTGGCCGCAGGTGGGCGGCCTTGCCCTGACGTCCAACCGTCGGCGCAGTGGCCTGCAGGAAGCTCACCGACCCCCCCGACAGTGTTTTTTTTTTGTTTGCGGCGTGGGCCCGCAGAAGCTGTGCCCCCTCTTACCTGCGGCCGGCTTTTTATATCCTGAGTCGTTTTGTGATGGTCCAGGGCTCGCCATCGCTCGGACGTCCATTCCCTGTGTGTTTCTTTCGGTTTCGTGCGTGGCTTTTTCGCCAAGCGATCAGGGATGCTCCTCGATGGTCCTCGCCGAAGGAAAAACGCACACGTCCGAGCGGTGCCAAGGGCAGGAGGCCCCTGGAGGCCGAACGCTGTCTTGACAGCCCGCTGCGATTCTCCCACGGCTCGAGAGGGTCTTTGGCTCTGGGCAGGTCCCGCGTGCGCGCCCAACGATTTCCGCCCGGCGTGCCGCGGTGGCGGCCTGCAGGAGCGACCGCACCACGCCAGCACGTCGTCGCGGCGTTGACCTAAGGAACCCTACTTAAGGAACGAGGCCTGCTTTTTTTCCATCAATGAAACTTCGATTTCCCATCGAAGACACAAGGAAAACCTGAGGCAAGCTGTGAAACACTTCAGGAACACCGAGCCCCTCCCCAAGGAAAAGGGTTCCTTCTTCAGGGCCCCGACTCTATGTCGTCGTGCGCAAGGCTCTGCTCTTCTCGTCGTCCACGTGTGGCTGCCTTCGGTCGTGATCCTTCCGCGGTGCGGAAAAGGGTCTGGGTGGCCTGCCGCGTGCTGCTCTGCCGATGTCCGCCGCACGTGCGCCGCCGTCCCTTTTCCCCCCTTTCGACGCCTGGCCACAGCTCCCGTGCAAGCAAACGCCGCGCCTAGTCCAGTGCGCAAAGAGCAGGGGCCGCGAAATAATATTGAAGAGGCGGCCGGAGCTGGACTGCACAAGGAGGTTGTCGCGGCAACATCCGCCACCGCTGCGCCGGTGCGGTGGTTGGTGCGCGTGGCGGCCCACTGCGACGCCGACGCGTCGAACCCATCATGCGCATCTGCTTGCTCCAAAATCCTGCGTTTCTCAGTCTTCCGCACAACAGCCGGGCAACCAGCACTCCCCCCTCTTCCCCTCCGCACGTCTCCATTCCCGTGCCTCTTTGCAGCGTGGCGGCGGTCTCGCGCGGAAGCGCAGCTGCATTAATTCACGCACTCCCCTCGCTGTCCTCCTCGAACTCGACGATGTCCTCCTCTGAAGAGATCTCCTCGGTGGCCGAACAATGCTTGCGCCATCGGCGGCCCCGTGGGTGACCCCGTCCGCTCAGACCCTAGCGCAAAGATGCCACGAGGTTGCCTCCTTTTCCCCCCCTCGCTCTCCCTCTTCCTCCTCCTTCTCCTCATCCTCCTCATCACTTCCCTCCTACTCGTCTTCCTTTCTCCCTCCTCCGCCTCCCGTTCCTCCTGTTCCTCCTGCTCCTCCTGCTGCTCCACTTCCTCCTCCTCGTCCTGCTCGTCCTCCTCCCTCCTTCGTCCTTCGTCCTTATTTTTCATCCTTCGCTACCTTCTCCTCCTTCGCCCCTCCCGCACGAAGAACACAACGCAACAATGTCCCGACTGCTGGGCCCAAACCCGCCGCCAGCGTCGCTTCCCGCGTCCGCCCCCCGCACGCCTATCCCCCCCCCTGTGCTTCTTCTCCTCCTGCTCCCGACTCTCCTCCTCCTTCTCCTCCTCCTTACATACAGACGGACACACAGAAGCGGGCCACTCGATGAACGGGGTGTTCTCCCCCAGCCTCGTGGGGACGGGCGACAACAGGCACGATCCCAGGGGCCCCCGAGGACGGAGGGCTGCCGCTGACACTGGGGCCTGCAGGGAGCTCGGCCAAAGGGTGCCCGCACCAATAATAGCTCTGAGAAGAGCTCGGGGAACCACCGAACGGGTTGCCCCTGCAGGAGATCGAGGTGCGCTTGGCCCGAACGGACCTTCCAAGGCTTCGAGACTTCGAGCTCCCTTCGGGTAGGGTAGCCTGCCGCTGCGCAGCGTGCGTAACTGGCTGGAACGCTTTCAATATTGCGAGCCCACGCGATCGCCCAATGGTGTACGACCCGCATCTGTTGCAACATGATGCGTCAAGGCCAAGAACAATTGGTTGACTCAGGCGGTGGTGCTGGTTCCAGAGCTGCGGCCAGCGATCTTGGGAGCGGCGTGCAAGGTCCCCTCCGACAGTGGAAGAGGGTTCTGGTTGTGGCTCTGCCACAAGCTATACGCTGCTATGGGTTAAACGCCCAGCGGCAGCTGTGCTTACTGAACAAACAAACAGAACTTGCTCTGGGGGCCCTGGGGATCTTCAGGGGTCACCGAACACATCCTCCGCTTGTCCACAAGGTTCCAGGAGCAAGCTGGCCTCCGCGCCGTCGAACCACGTCTGAGACGTGGCCTCGATTCGAGTGGCGTCATTCTTGCAAACCTGACCCGTGCCACTTTCCTCAGCTGGCACATCAGCCCACCCATTTCCAAGGGTCCTCCTTTATTCCTCCAGAATCCTGCCTCCGCGAAGCATGCTGTGATGGGCCTGGGTCTTAGAGATCTGCCAACCCTGCATGTCTGTGAGCTGGTGAATATGGCGCCAAAGCTCCGCTTTTTGCCTTCAGCCATCGCGGGGTCTGATTGGGGCACCCGCACCGTGCGCAACCGCAGCGCAATCATGAAACACTTGCACAGTGGCATCGCCTTCGACAATCTGGAGATGAGCGCGCCCACGGAGCCAGCCATGATGTTCGGACATGTCGGCGTTGCCAGGAATGAAAGGCGGGGGGTCCTCTCATGGCTCCTCATATGTCCCCAATGTCAGTCGCCTTAGCCGCAAACCCCCCCATCGCGAGGCGGGTGGGGGTGGGGTGAGCCGCGGATCCGTCAATCGACACCTCGGTTCCAGGGGCTCCCCGACGAACTGGCTGATGGGCCCAGGCCTGTTCAGGCATGCGATCTTATCGCGACTAGGCGGGCGTTTCCCGACGAGGTGCGCGGCCGTCCAGAGGCAGCTGCGCGGGAGATCCTGGAGGCCAGCCTCGAGCGCAGCATTCGCCAAGGCTTCGTCCAGCAGCTTGCGAAGGGGCGCCCGTCAAAGCACCGCCATGCGCGGTGGGAAGTGGCGTCGGGAGGTCCGCCGTGTTGGCGCTTGACAGGAACTACTTCATGCCCGTCTTGCGGCATAACAGTGCCCGTGCAGTGGCAGCCCGTGGATGCCTGGTGAATGATCTATTTGGCATGCGCGCCGTGCTCGTCTGGGCACCGCGCCCTCGAAACAAGGTGCGTCCAAAGCCCTCTCGATCGACTCGGGCCGGCCCCCATCGGACAGGGCGTCCTGGTGCTCGTCGGAAGCCGTTCTGCGGGGGCCTTGTTTCTGAAGGTCTTGACCGAACAAACAATGCCCCTGGGCGGTAGGGGCAGCCGCGACATCGCATTCAAACCCGATGTCCCAGCGCGGGCAAGGCACCGACGAACTTTCAACCGGCCATCTTGCGCCGCAAAACGCGCGTCGAACCAAGGGCTGTGAGCTACGCGGTGCCAGCGGGGAGGAGAAGGGTTGCGGCCAAAACATTCCTGCGCGAGGACGTCCGCGGGCCTCGGGGCTCCGTCCGGGGCCGACCACCGCTCCGCGGTTTCAGGGCGGGGCGAAGCCCTGGCGTCGGTCCGGGTTCGCCCCCGGGCCCCGCGAACGGATGGCCTTGGCCGCCTGGTCTGCAAGCGCAGGCTGCGGACCAAGACAGGAGAGCGCCCCTGGACTTCTGCCCCGCCCACGAGGCTTGGGCCGGTCCCGCGGGCGAGAGTCTCCCCCTTCTTAGCCGTGGCCCTCATTTGCTTGATCAGAACGGGCCTCCTGAAGCCCTTCTGCCAGCGGCCCCTCGTTTTGGCCCTGGCGTTTTTGTCCCCGGAGAACTTGGCGACGGCAAAATCAACTCCATGGGTCCAGTTGGCGGCGAACTGAGCGAATGTTCTTAAACGCGATCGGAAGTTTAAGCGTGTTGGTTACCGTGTCGAGCACCGTGCCAGCGCGTGAGACAATCGCAATCAGGCGCTCGATTGCAGTCGGCCAGTCCGCCAACGTAATGGTATAGTCGATGTGGTTGGCGAGGCCCCCACCCGCCCCTAACTGGAAGCTGCGCCTGCCAGGGGGGGGCGGCTGGGGGGGGCGCGTTGGCTTTGATCTCGCAAATCATCGGGCGGCGAGGTCACCTGCGACTCGCGACGGTGAGCCTTGCAACGCGAGCGGGGGGCGCGCGTGGCTGGGATTCGTTCCAGAGGTGCTGGTTTCCGACATGCTCGCGGCGCTGTCTGGTCAGCAAGGAAGGCCCTCGCGAATTTGCCTTGGTTATGGTGGAACTCATCTCTGGTAGCTTGGCGCCAGACGGCGTCGGCGGTCGACCTGTGCGGCGTAGTATTCAGGAGAAGGCTGGTCGCGCATTGAGGCTCCCATCCCCTGCGGCCGTTGGGCAGTCCCTTAACATTAACCCTGGTGGCAAACTGAAAGATGCCTAGTGGCCGCCGTCTTTCGAGCGGCCCCCGGTAGAGCGACGCAATGGGCTTTCTGAAGACACTCGGGGCATTGCCTGGGATGTCCATAGCAAAGAAGAAAGCCTTGGGGAGAACCGCGCGCGCCAGCCCCCCAGGGGCCGAAAAGTCAGCGCCGGTGGTCGCCCTCTCTAAAACTCTGGACGAGCTCCGAATTTCTTCGACCTCTGGGCTGGCAAGAACGAACAACCTCGCCCATGGGGTGCTTCCGCGCCGACGTTCCGGGCGGCTCTCCAAGCCCGAGCGAGGTGGTTGAACCGGCCGGGAAAGAAGGGCGCAGACGTCGTGTCATCCTCCTGCAGAATGACGTCTTCTTTTACGTCGGCAGCAAGCTTGGTGGATCGATGGTCTCTGTGCGCCCGTCCTGCAGAGGCTGCTTCGCATTGTTCACTCCGCCGCGCCCTCAGCTGTCTCTGTCCCTTGGCCAGGCGATGGGTTCCCGGGGAAGTGAAGCGCCCGGTCGCCGCGGCAAAACAACTGAATCCCACTCCCCCGTGTTTCCCCCGCCATGCTTGGAAAGCAGCGGCCTGAGGGATAACTGCGCTCCTCGCTTACTGATGTGGCGCGCGTGCATCATCCTCTGAGAGGGGCCTCCTGGGACCTCTTGGCAGGCCTCGCAAGCGACGAGCAGGGCTTCGCCAGTCGCCTGATCGTCCGACCGCTGTGCGTGGCCTCCGACGGCCAAGGATTGAATGTGACCTTAAGGCCGCCGCTTCAACCCGATGCGGGAGGCCGCCCTGCCGCCCTGAAACTGATGGGTTGCGGTGGGGATGCTGGGGGCCCCCCCGTGCCCTGGCGCGCTATTCGCCGTGGGCGTGGTCTGGGGCCCCCTGCGATTCGCCCCCCTTGAGCGCATTGGAAAAGGGGCCCTGAACTCGCAACCGTCCGTGAAAAGGGTAAGGCGCTGGCAATTTGAGTTCCGAGGCCCTGGTCGCAAAAGGGGGGAGCTGGCCCACATGGGAGCTGGACAAAAAACGACTGGTATGTGGCATGACGGTCCATTCCGAAAAGAAAGTCTCGGTCGTCGAGTGGGTCCACTGGCTTGCGCGGGCGCGCGTCGCTCGACGGACCCGCCGCGACAGACGAACGCGGTTTGACCAGCGCCACACTGATGCTATATTAGCTTTTGGTTTTATGTGGGTCCTCCACCGAGCATGTGTGGACCGCTGGATCAAGTAATGGCCCCCCTCCCGTGCGACCTGATTCGAGGTCTATGTGAATTTCCCGCGGCGTGAAGTTGAAATCGCCACCCGCCGCGCGTAATAATATGCTGTCCCATCTTCTTGCGTAGATCATCGTTGCGCTTCCCGAGGCTGGCGCTGGTCCACGAATCGGTAATAAAGCAGAAATTGACTCCTTGCTTGGCTTCGGTGAGCCGCCAAGTTGGGTATCCTCTGCCTTGGGCCAGGGGTTGTAGGTCTGCAGTTGATTTTTTGCCGTCCTCGAGCTTCCTCTCTGGCTTCTCGAGCTTGGCAGCCGCCTAGTTTAACTCCCTCTCCTGCTCCTGCAAGTGCACTCTGGCGTTCTGAACTTGGACTTGTAAGCGGCCGACCGTCCTGGAATGACTGTCCACCTGCTTCTCAAACTTGGGTATTTGCTGCTGGCCACCGTGAGACGTTGACTAGCTGACTTGCCACTGTCGCGCTCAGCTCGCGAAGCTTGGGGTTTGGCCTGCATCGCTTGAGCCGCCTGT